CACCCATAAAACTGGCAGCTGATTTCTCAAAAAAACTGTACAGGAGAGAAGGGCTTGACACAAAATATTCAAAATGATGAAAACCCAGTATCTATGACCAAGAATACTTTATCCAGCAAAGCTATTATTTAGAGTTTAAGGACAGATAAAGAGCTTCCCAGATAAAAATAAGCTAAAGGAATTTATCATCGATAAATTTCCAGTAGTACAGGAAACGTTGGAGGGACTTCTTTAAGAAAAAAAATGTATAAAAAACAGAAATAAAAAATGGTAATAGCTATATTCCTATCAATAAGTAACTCAATGGAAAAGAATTAAGAGTTCCAACCAAAAGATAGAGTGGCTGATTGGATAAGAAAACAAGACCCCTACGTGTGCTGCCTACAAGAGACTCACTTCAGATTAAAGACACACACAGACTAAAAGGAAGGGAATGGCAAAAGATATTGCCTTGATGGACCTAGAGAGTATTGCACTGAATGAGAAAGATAGGGTAGAGAACGATATATACCACGTATATGCAGAATCTGAAGAACAAAATAAACAATAACAATAAAAACAGAAACGAACTCATAGATACAGAGAATATTTTGAGGGCTACTAGATGGAGTGGGAGGTGAGGGAGATGGTGAAAAAGGACGAAGGGATTAAGAAATACAAATGGATAGTTACAAAATAGTCATGTAGATATAAAGTATAGCATAAGGAAAATAGTCAACAATGTTATAATAAATATGTAAGGGGGAAGAGGGGAACTAGATTTAGTAGGGTGATCACTTGAGCTCTAATCACTATGCCACACAACTAAAATTAATATATTATTATATATCAACTATAATTGAAAAAAACTCATTGAATTGCACAATGTAAATATGAGCAATTAATTGTCTATTATATTTCAATAAAGCTGGGGAAAAGAAAAGAAGCCACAGAGAAATCCCGAGCCCCTTCTATTGTGTGAGGATACAGGGGAAAGGTATCAACTATGAACTGAGAAGAAGGCCCTTACCCAAACATGCTGGCACCTTGTTTTGGACTTTCCAGCCTCCAGAACTGTGAGAAATAAATTTCTGTTGCTTATTTAAAACAAAAA